TTTGGAAGAACTGTGGTTGGGTGATGATGAGGAAGAAGTGATGACTTTGGTGGACTGTCTGTCTGCAGAGTGCCGCTGTATCCCAGCCATCACTGATGTCTCCCATCTTTATCCACGACTAACGCCCCACCCGAAGCGTGTACAGCAACACTCAGTCCACGATTCTCGCGGACCTCCGAAGCAGCCTTCCGCAGATATCATGGAGGAGCTGACACCTGATTTTGCTGCTCTGCCCTTCCCCTTGACAGAGAAGGCACCAACAACAGAAACGAAGGAGGATGCAAGAGAGGCAGAAGAGGAAAACTATTCGGCGCTTTCTATGAAGGTGGCTAGTGGTCTACTGCGCATCTCTGTGCCTGAAATGCGCACCAAATCTTTGCAGGGAGAAACGAGCGCACCAGTACTTAGTCTGCTTCCAACCGCCCCAGCCTCTTCAGCGCCAGTCAGCCGGGAAGCTATGGACAACGAGGTCAGCTCTCCCGCCTGTTTCTCTTCTCCAACACTTCAAACAGAACAACAACAACAACAAGAGGAACAACAAAAACAGGAGCCAAAGCAGGGAGAACAGCAAGATTCGGCAACCTCTTCTCAAACGGTTTCAGACAGTCCAAGTGACCTAGATGTCTGGGTGCTTTCGAAGTCGAGCAGTTCAGTGGAGGCTAATTCGGGGGATGAAAGGGCAACAGAACAGGCGACAGAAGAGGAGGAGGACGAGACAGCTGAAGAGGTTGGCCTGATTCAGCCGGTGCATGATCCTGCCGATGGCGATGTTACGCCTCAACAGCACTCCTGTACTCCACTCCTGGTTTCACAGGACGAAGAGACTTTTGTTGAGACCTTGCCAACGGTCTCGAGCCTGCAATCCCCAGATGTTGAAGACGACCTTTCTCAACTAGCAGCCGCTGCCGGAGTAAATTTGGCTGCCGAATTTGCGCAAACACCTGATGATGATGAGGTAGAAGAGGAAGACAATGGCCGTGAAGAAGATGATAAGGAAAGTGGCCATCTCCGTGATCTACCCCTCAGTCTTCC